CAATCCACAATCTGTTTGGGGGAACGCGTGAGTTATATTGAATTTGGGTAATCAGAAATTGAGGAAGCGCCACCACAACCGAATTTCTCTCGACGAATATAACTTATGAGAGGTAATTTTCTCTAACTTATTGGAGGCTTGTGAGGGAAGCCTGGCAAGGTATAACTTATTACTGGGTTTACTGGATCTTACGTTCATTCAGGGATTCCCCTGGCATCGAAGTCAATTCAATGAGTGCCGTTTCATCAATTCCTTCGCTTCTTCATCGTCAGCTATACTCTATCTTACAATATTTACCAAAATAATAAAGATAGAAAATCCATAAGATCCATATGATTATCCTTGTGCCATTCCTAATTTTGACTATTCTTCTATATTTAAACAAACAAATAGATGAATCAAATATTGAATAAAAACATCTCCGTATTACTCCGCAGTACCCTAAACAGTAAAGTAAAAATGCCTATTGATTGTCCGATATTTTTTGAAGCCTCGCGAAGCGTCTGCTTGCCAATTTATTGCCAAGATGAATAATTATTTAATGAACATACAAACCCCAGAGTTGTATGAAACGGAGGAAAAGTAACTAAAGTGGTTGGTACGGAGAAACTCTGGTTAAACTGTTTCACGGGATACAAACGCGCAACTGCAAGTTTCCGGACTACAAAGGCTCTTGTCACGAATCTCTGGCTACACAAAGATAGGATGTCGTGCTTAACTTGGAGCACGTTCTAAATGCCGAATTGAGACCAAACTCCAAACCGTACGATAAGCTCCTTACAAAGTTTATATTGTACATCTAACCAATCAAAAATCCGAGGAAAATGCATTGATTCAGGTAGAGCAAAGTTCATCATCATCAGCTCAAGAGTCAAATTTATGTGACACTACACATTTTTAATCTCATCAAATACACTAAAGACCCAATTTAGTGGATATAAAATCATCGGATGGAGTCTCTATTGATTCGATACTCAGCAGAAAGCACCGGGATATTTGAAAACCGTGAATATTCCCAACGGAAACGATACAAGTCGACCCATTTCGCTCCGGTAGACTCCGAGATATCAAAGAGGAGACCTCTCTCCACGGAAAATTATTTCTTTTTACATCTACCAACTAATTCCCCAGCGGTAATTCCAAACACTATAGCTCCCACTTGCTTTTAGCAATCTGCAGATTTTTTAAATCTTGTCATGTGTGTCAGATTTTATACAATAGCCAGCGATGAATAATTTAAAAATTATTGAATAACAACGTAATTTGCGATATATCTGTAATAATTATTGCTTGATATACGCTTTTTATTTAATTTATTTTTAGGATTGCAAATTTGACTGATCATATATTGGATTTACTACTTATTCCTTTTATATTCTTTCGCGATATTTGATATTTTACGATTGAAAGTGTCGGAATTAAAGGGTAAATTATTGCCGCCAGGAGAAATTGAAATCATCGTTGACAAACTGGAGTGGATAAGAAAGCAGAAAAAAATTGGCGAGTCATTGTACCATGAAATTGACTTGGAATGAAAGCTCGAATGTTTAACTGCAGAAATTCTTGGGAGTACTACAATCGCCTCAGAGTGACTCACGCGCTACAACTTCAGTTGTTGAAGGATAAAAAGATTAATGGGATAAAGAATACCGTCAATGTCCTAGTTATTGCCACTTTTGGCCCTTCACGTTCTTCTGAGGATCCAAGAACTATATTTTGTCAATGGGGCGTCACTTTGACGTACCAAGTCGTCACTCCTGAGTGCTTTTAACTATTAACCAATTTCATTTTTTCATTACCTAGCTAAATCGATTTATATAAAGGAAATATAAATTAATAGGATGTCATTTTAATTCCAGACTTTTAAAAATCCTTTTCGAAGATCTGAAAAAGCAAAGAGGAGATATGAATTATAGAAAAAATACTATTGGCCAATTTTTTATAAGGATTACAATACTTTTACAGAATTCTTACAAAAAAGGATTATAATTTTGTTATTTGATTCGATCATTAATTCACCCGGAAAAACCAAATTCTCGTGGATTTTCAATACTAATGAGAAATTAACTGATTATTTTCAATGGAAATCGAATTCAAAGGCATGGAAAATTCAGATGACATTGTCCGCATGGAAAACGATATACATACGAAATATATATTAATTATCGTTCCATATATTACCCATGTATTCGGCATATACCTGATATATGCGTGAAATATATTAGCGGGAAAAAATAGAATATGCCACGTATACCTAACAGATAATTATTGACATATATATTTCTCTCGTAAGGATGGAACTGATATATCCGGGAAATTTCAACAGTATACCGTAAAAATCAAGAAATCAAGAAATCCTGCATGAAAATCCCCTCGTCTTCGGGAACGACCTCATTACCCTCCATTCTTCCCCCCAGGCATGAGCCCCTCATTTCCAGAATCCCAAAGAAGCCCATGAGATAAAATGAAACGTGTGAAGAAGTTCCACCAGAAAAAAAAACAAACACCGAGGGATAAACATTTCGTTCCTCAACAATGCCAGTATGTTCTTTTTTACAACACGAGAAAATGGCCCGCAAGGGTTTCTCAGGCCATCAACGACACGAAACAACGATGCCCTGAGGAAACACAGAGGCAACTAAATTAACTGGTGAATCTCCTCTGGGCTCACGATATACCCAAATACTCTCACCCTCTTCCTCCCTCAGTCCAGCATGAAAATTATTTAGGGATGTACCATGGCGTTTGCCCTCACCCACTTTACCCCTCGGTGGTTTCCTTGACACATTCGTGACACAACAAAATAACTCGTGATACCTTGTTGTGACGCGCTCCGTATTTCTCCGTTTCTACTTCACCTTTTTACTGCTAATAAAATTCTTAATCTACGACGCTTTCTTTCCCTCATGCCCAAAACACTCCTATATTATTTGTCTTTGTCTTCTTTTATTGTTACTCTACGTTCATGCACTGTTTAATATTTTTTTCCTCAAATCTCCGGCCATTTCTAAAGTTTTCTCATCTCGTTTTTCATTTTTTCATTTATTTTCTTTCTCTTGTCGTGTATATTGTCGCTGCTATGCAATTTCATGATTGATAATCAACGGGAATTGTCCCATTTTTTATTCATTTGAATTTAGTTTATTGTTTTTTTTAATTAATTCAACATTTGGGGTATTTTGGGGTTCATTTGGAAAAAAGGCATTTTACATAGAGTCCGTTATCGGTGAATATCTCGGAAATGAAAGGAGATATACAAATTTTTATGGATACCTTTTTTGTAGAACGATGTATCAGGTATAAAAAAGGTTTATATAAAAATTTCGCTAGATCCAATTGTTTAGGAGGTATTCAGCGATAATTGGAACTTTGCTGAACGCACTCGTCTCTGTTTACTAATTCACTTACGCTTTTCAAATTTTTCATTTCATTGATTCTCTTTTTTCCTTCGGTGACTAATAATTACATGAACTTGATAAATTGTCAAAGAGTCGACTGGGATGCCTTGAGTAAAAAAATTCAATCTCTCTGGAATTTAATTTCCATTGAACTCTTCTGCAAAAAATCTTTCATATGCATATGCAAGAATATTTTCACTGAACAAAGAGAGGGATTCTATGTTTCTTGCATGAGACGTTAATTTCATTCTTTGAATCCAGTTATTCGATGACCCAGAATGTTTTTATCTATCTGGCAATTTTGAGGAGAAGTAAACTGTGAAGTACTAAGCGGTTTACCAGCGGGTATTACCTCCCACTCGATTTCCGTCTCAGTTTTCCCATAATTTTGTAAATTCTATGGCGCATTGAAGGCTACAATTAGAGAATATCAAATAAATGATGACAGGAAAATGAATTACAGGAAACAGAAGTACTTGAGATAATTACGAGTCAATAAACTTTGTATGAAACCATTATTATTAATTTTCATCTGCAACGAATTTACATTGCAGCAGTAAATTTAATTAACGATTCTTTTCTCCTTTTATTCTGCATTCAGGGAATCAATTTATTCCTCTTCGAAATTATAATTTCAATTTTTAATGTCCAGTGACGATTGGAACTGAATTTCCAATATTACCAGATTCAATTAAATTTAAATCAGTCTGCTATTTCACGCCATTCATAAAAGTTTCCATTAATTTTAAAAATTCAATAAAATTCTGAATTTTTAGTGTCCGTAATGAATGTTAAATTTTAAATCTCACTATGAGATTTAAAAAAAATTGAACATTAAATTTAATCAGATTAATTAATCACTAATTCTGTCGAAATTGAATAAAACGTTGAAAACCGTCAAGTTCAATTCCAATTTCCATTTTTCCGTACGGAAAAATTCAATAAATCGATCCAACTCAATCAATTATGGAATTGACTAACAAAATTTACACGCCGCTATCATAACATTTCCCAAAAAATGCATACAAATAAAATTTCCTCAACCACTTTTCTCTCATACACGTATCGCTCGGTGCGTCCCACAATTTCTCCCCATTGTTTATTATTTCGTCCATCAAGAAACAGTACGAGCCCAAGAAATACATAAGCAGAGAAGCAAAATAAATACCAAAAGTAAAGAAAAAAAAAAAAAAAACTGGGAAACCGCACAAATGACGACGTTTCGTTTTACCGTGGAGTTGGAACAGCTCCAAAGCTCCGAGTGTTGGCACTCGTAAACGTACGCTCGGGAGATATTTAGTGGGTCGTGTATTTCTAAAATGGAGTATTCACGACGAGTAACCCATTGGATATATAAATTAAACCAAGATGTCACACGTAATTTCAACTTGGATACTGTTAATACGCCATAAATGGACCAATTCCTTGAAATGGATTTTGAGTTAAATCCCGCTACCGGTCTCCACTACATCATCCGGCTTTATTACCGTACGCCGTGGTAAACTCTCGGTGAAGCATGTGTCCGAGGATAAACACGAAAAGTGTCTGCACCCCAGACAAAATCCCCAATATTCCCGTCAAATTCCATTAATCAACACTTACCCAGACTCAAATCAATGACACACGATACATTAACCAGCATGATCAATACAGAATGTCTCCAACGGCCGATTAATCAGTTAAATCGACCTAATCATCCAAAAACGCGAGCACATTCGAATCCACCACTCAAAAGTCCCCGACTCATTAAATCGTCATGCCCTCATCTCGGCTCATCATCACTCAGAATTATCGTCAATGGACCGATAAATAATTGAGGCAAACCGATGGAGTTATGAATATTTAAATATCACGTCGACGAGTTATCGCGTGCTGTGAATCATCATAAATAAAAATACCCGACGAGAAGATACAGTGATAAAATTTTTTTTAACGCTGACTGACGTCCTCATCCTGGATGTTAGGGAGAATTAATGGGTGTTAGACACTAGTTAAAGTGAAAATGGAGAGACATAACGGGAAAATTTCGCGGGTGCACGTTTTGGGATTGGGAACAGGCCCCCGTGAGCCAGCGGATTCTCGACTCGACTGAGAACTTCGGTATCACTCGGCTACAAGTCAACCCCGCGAAAATTCACCGCGCAGACGCACACATAACTCGCGTTATCATAATCATCGTAATTGTTAACTGAAATCGATTGATTGATATTAATGATGGAGCAACATCCGTAATGATCGGTAATTCCTGTTCCTCTGCCCCATCGCCCGCTCCATCTCCCTCACGAGCATGATCCACACACTGACAAAATATTCTAAGCACGCGGGCTAAAATTCCCCATCGCGCCTCATTATCGCAAATAAACGAACGAGTTCTTTGAATCAATAACCCAGTTTTCCCATTGAATCGCTGACTCCTCATCGCCCACTTGAAATTCAAATCTATATCGATCCCCACGTGTTGATGGCGGCTAAATGGCGTAATGAAACGATCGAAAATGATTATATTTCCAAACGCAATTTTCAGGTAATTAGTGAGTCAATTACTTCCAATAGGAGAGCACTGTGTAATTGCTAATTACAGATTCCCATTGATCCGAAAGAAATTTTGCACCTCAAACGGATCGTGGGAATTCGTTGAAATTCTCGGCTAATTCGGGGGATCTACTGGCATTGGTGGATTCTCTTTGATGACACGTAAATAGTGGAAATTATTGATAATTATTTGGGTTAGGAGTTTGATCGGGAGGTGGGTGTTTGATAATGAGGTTATTATTTTGGAACTGAAGGTGTTAGGTGGGGTGGATGGATAAAAGGGTGGCAGACCAACTTTTGGGCTGAAGAGATCGATCGCAAAAGGACGCAAGAGGAATAGGAGAGCGTGGGCTGAGAGGAAGAGACCCTGTGCGCAGCTCCATCGATTATCCCTGCAAGAGAAGCCCTCGCGTTCTTGTCCCTCTCGTATTCTATTCCCCTTCTTACCCTCACACTCACTTTGTGGTGAACTCTCTATCTCACTTCGACTCTCTTTCACTTCTCTCTTTCAACCAAAAGCCCCAACTAAAGCGCTGCCCATTCATTGTGCGTTTTTACACGTTAACTTAATAAATTAGTTGTCACTAACACCAGTGGGTGGAGATCTCGACGTACTGATAAAACACACCGATTCAATTACAATTGATGCTGTTATTAATGCGAAAATCCAGTTCCGGAAGGGGATTTTTTTTTATTTTGCAATATTTTTTAATATCAATATTCGACTCACGCAATTTATCCATATTTTTATTAAATACTTTTCCATGGACGATCTTTCGATATTAATTATGAGTATTATCTTTATGAATTTTTAATTCATAACGATTTGATTTGATTTTTACTTGTCTTGACACTTTCACCATTGGAATTGCAGGTGGAAATGTAACAAATTTCTAATTCTGTAAAACGCTGAGGTAGAACAGATCTTGAGTGAAGATTAATAAATAATATGGAATTGCCAAAGTAAATCTCCGAGCCGTCGATCTCTGAAATGCAACGACAATGTTTGCACTCGAAAGAGTAACTTCCTCCTAACAAAATAAATCCAACTCTCCCAAGTGATACGTTCCTCGCATACGGCCTCCGCGCAATAAATAAAATTCCACGTGACGATAGTTGATATACGATACGAGTACCAAGGGGGGGCTTTCCGGGGGGATAATATTTAATTTCTTGCACGACTGACTTCTCCGGCTCACTTGCCCCAAGTCCCCATGGCCAGTTGCTACCATTTTTCCTGACTTCCCCTTCGCCTGGAGAACAACAGTCATCGAATAAACATGAGAATACACCCCCATAAATTTTTAATAATCCTTCTTTATTACCCTTCCCCCCAACCCCCTCGTAATTAACTCCAATTTGTTTTTCCCTCGCACGCAAAAAACTGTTGAACAATTAATTTATTTATTTCAGCTAGGCGGAATATTCAATAATAATACTACACCTCAAAATATTCGAAAATAGGAAATACGCTCGAAAAATGTTACAAGTCAAGATGAAGATCGATATAACGATATCATTATATTATTTATTGAAATTATTATTACGCCCAATTAATTAACCAACTGTATTTTCCTGAAATTATTATTTGACTTGCGATATATTTACCCTTGGGACAATCCCCCAGGGATTTATCGACACCCGCCCACTCGGTAATTGATTTTTTAAAGTTCATTCAACTCGAAGAAGTAGGCGACTGAATAGACGACGATATCACCACCGAAGACCGTGTGTTGGTTTTAGATAAGACCCCACCACCCCACGGTCCCCGATTCTTACGAACAATTGTAGATTATACATTAGGTACATGTGTCACGTGCATGTATATTGGTACGGCCAGAAGGGATATGCACATTATGTATCACATTTGACCAAAATGCATGTGTGTACAGTGGCGCTTATTATACCCTCTAGTACATAGATGTGTACATAAGCAGGAGTGGGTGGGTGGGGGGTGGGGGGGTGCCTGAATACGAAGCAGGTCCGATGGTAGTGGGTGACCCCTCGGTTTACCATAACTGAATATTGATAGACACTAGCCGCAGCGGTCTCCTCCACCAGAACCATCAGGAATCAATGCGCGGATCCAATCAATTGGCATCTTCAATTTTAACCCCAATATAGGGAGATTAATACCTGTACAGAACCACCCCGTTATTACGCCTTTAATGGAATATCGAGGAAGCCACCATTTTTTTTTATTATTGAGATAATCCTACTGACTGGTTTACGCGTCATTCTCGGTATGCTTTAGGAGTTTTCCACAAAAAATTACGTTGGACTTCCGTAATTCTCCCGTGAAATGACTTTTCGTGGAAAATTATGCAACGGTTGTGGATTTTTACGGGTGCGTCGCGAAATTTTCCGGTGAGGCCACTGAAAATTACCCGACACTCATAAAATTTCAGGTTTGTTTCACATTTTTCTTTCTGCGGAATGGAATTGCACATTTTTTTGTCAATTTTTCTCTGTGAAAATTCAAAAATTGAGACATTTAGTTCCTAGTTGTCAGGCGTAATAATGACAATATCAATTTGCAAGAATTATCTAATGGCTTACGATTTCCAGTGAAAATAACGGATTGAAGAGTCGTTCTTCTGTCTGTTAATTGGAGAAAAATTTACTCAACACCTAGAATTTTCTCTGAAAAATTGCTCTCAGTTTGCAATAATTCCGTCAGTTTACAATGATTGACAATTCGGGAATGTCAACCTGCCACGAAAAACCACAAAAACTCAATGGCTGAATCCAATCACCGTACATCTTTAATTTCAATCCCACTACAGCAGAATAATCCGTGGATAAAACCGCATTATCATCCCTAGAATGGAATATCGAGTGGTCAGAGGGTAAATGACACATTCTTTTTTTCCTTCATTTAAAAATCGGTCCATTCAGGGAGTGAATATGGATTTTGTTCGCCGAGGGGGAACGTCAAATAATTGAGACGAAAAAGAGACTAACGAATCAATGACTGCATGATCCTTCTCCAATCATATCCCACTAATTTATTCAGAATGAAAGATGGAATAATCCCCGTGTCCTTCCCTTTAAACACGGGATAATGAAAAAATATCGGCCACATTATGAATTCATAATTGAATTCAACCAGAAGATCCCAAGTTGACACCCGAGAATCCCAAAATTCCATTAGAATCATTAAAAATTAGTCCTATCAATGAACATCTCTCACTCTCCCCGTGAATTAATGATCTACAGTTATTATTACCACTTCTCTCGGTAAAATATCCAGAGAGTTCATTGCAATTCGAATGAGCAATTCGAAATAATCAGACGATAAATGATGGTCAATTGGTCTTTTTGAAATAATCGGTGCATAGGACGAGGATAAATTCAACAGGATGATTGAATAATTGATATCGGTAAACAGGATAATGCGAATTATCAATGATTTCATGATTCCATTGAGAATAACACCATTCACTGATTTATTCGAAATAGAACAACCAATAATTCATGTCGTTTCGATTTACGCCAATATTGGAATAGTTTTCGGATAACTAGTAAAATTGTTTCAATCCCGCGATTCCGTGATTTAATATCGGAGAAATAATTAGGATTATTGCAAATATCTATGATATTTCTCGTGCTGATTATTTCTATGCAATTCCAATTCATTTTTTTCTTATATTTACTGTAGAGTCTGTCGTTGAATTTTTTTTTAGTAAGAAGCATCCGAAAAATTTATAATTTGGATAATCTTTTTACATACATGTAAAATAATTTTACACAGATTATTATAGTCACGGTATTCGTTCTGATTATTGCATAATCCCATTCACTCATTGAGGTTAAACTGAATGTGGAATAATTCTGATAATACGAATGGATGATAGAGAATTATATTCCACCAAGAATAGGAGAGTACGTTTTGAATTCAATCGTATTGGGAGATTACCGTGTTTTAATAATCCATGATGTCGAAAATCCATGAACATCGAGAGTAAATGGGCAAATGGTATTAACTGACGTTCTTCACTCTGACCCAGATACGTAAATTGATCATCAGGCTATCCAGATGATTGTCGAGCATTTCCGTTTTCAAGAAATTCATGTCGAGCCCATCCAGACGAAAATAGCTTTTCATTAAAAATCTAAGTATTATCATTATTGAGCGCAACACTGCGAGCATGTACTCGTTTTATTTATCTATTCGGAATTCAGTTAAAAAATTGACTAGAGGGGCTACATTTTGTCCAAAATTTATTTTCAAATTTTTCTTTGTGGAATTGAAATTCATTTGCATTTGCGTATTTAGTCACAGAGTGGGAAATAATCCCGATAATGTGAATTTATTGCTATGACCAAGACCTGATGCGAGTGATACCAAATATATACTAGTTTGCTGAATCTTTCAATAGGATTAGGAGGATGGGTCCAGATTATAATCTGTATCGCTCGGCCTAATCCTGTTGAAAGATTATCGTAGCTTAATTCCTCGTAATATGGCCCAGGACAATTTGGACGGACTTATCATGTTTCACCACAAAACATCGATATACGGTT